CTCCTCTTCCTCCTCCTCCTCTCCTTCTTCCAGACATGACTGCGTCGCAAACATAGAATCCCGACGGGAGGTGCCTCGGGGGGCCTTCGCCGGGCCTCGGGACCGTCAACAGAACGAGCTATGATGAAAATCGGTCCCGGGGAGAGGATCGGGACTTCCAGGGACCCCGTATGTAAAACATCGGGACTTCGCATGTCTGGGACCTTGGCCCCCCTCCCGTTCGGCATGCGACCCGGGGGCGCGCTGGCGATCAATGAAGCACGCGTGTCTCGAGGGAAGATGAGGAGGAGCTGCTTCGAGCACCACCGCCGCCTTGAATGTGTCGAGGCAGGGTCTGGTAGGGAGTTCTCTCTCTGTCTCTCTCTTGCGGCGCTCTTGCAGAACTTCCCGCAGCGCATCCTGACGGTAGGATTGTTTTCGCCATTGTTCGATGTGTCGTTCTTTCTGCTCGTCATGTGAACTGGCGGCGTGGAGGAAGGGGGGGCATCATTGCGGGAAGACTCCAGGAGGATGGGGAGTGGGATGAAGAGGAAAGCAGGCGGGGAATGAGGACGAGGAGAAGCAGGTCAAATCCAACCTCGGAGTCAGCCCCTGCCGCCACTCGTCCATGCTCCCAGGATGCCCGAGCTCGCTGGCGCACTGGGCACCCCTCACGAGGCGAAGGGGGCCCCAGAGGCCCAACACTGATGCGACAAGTTGGGAGCACCTTGGGCGAAGACCACTTCTGGCATCCCCCGAGGGTGGGGGGCAACCCAGACGTGCGATGCCCTGATTTTATCAGGACAGGGTCCCTGGAAGTTTTGACCTGTTTCCCCGGGACCGAGGAGGAAGAGGAGGAGGAGGAGGAGGAGGAGGGAGGAGGAGGGAGGAGGAGGAGGAGGAGGAGGAGAAGGCGAGGAGGAGGAGAGGAGGAGGAGAGGAGGAGGAGGAGGAGGAGGAGGAGGAGGAGGAGGAGGAGGAGGAGGAGGAGGAGGAGCCCCTTGAGGGCCTGCTCGCGTCTGCCGCGGGCTCCCGCGCCTCGCCCCCCGTGGCGGGAAGTGCGCGGCCCCTCGGGGGAGAGGGGCGGCTTCTGGAGCGAGCGGCGGCGGGTGTGCGGCCGCACTCGGCGGCCCGGCCCCGAGGGGGAGCCCGAGCGCGGCAGCTGCCCCGAGAGGCACCTCACAGGTTTGGTGTTCCCCCCCCCTCGTCCGAGGAGGGGCTCCCCCCCCCCTCGTCCGAGGAGGGGCTCCCAACCCCCCCCCTCGTCCGAGGAGGGACTCCCCCTCCCTCGTCAGAGGAAGGCCCCCCCCCCGGGTCAAAGGAGGGCTCCTCCCCCCCCCCCTCGTACGAGGAGGCCCCCCCTCGTCCGAGGAGGGCCACCCCCCACCTGGTCAGAGGAGGGCTCCCCCCCCCCCTGGTCAAATGAGAGCAGGGCCACAGTCCCTGATAACAGGTGCACTCTGAGGTGCACATGGCCGTGCTGCTTGCGCACACCCTGGGAGCGCGCATAACTGGGAATCTGCACGCCTTCGTTGGCCGACCTCCTGTGCTCCTCTACCCGCCTCTTTGGACTAGTTCTGAATATGTTCTGAATATTTGTATTTGTTGTCCGAAATCCGCCTGTAGGGGGACACGCCCGACTTAACTCTGGTGCTATGATGCTGCTTTGCTAAAGTAATTCGAAGAAGAAACATTCACATAAAGATCTGTCAGCTGTTGGCGCTCTGCGCGGGTTTCTTGGTTCCGCGCCTGCCCCCCCCCCCCGGCGGCGCCTCGGGCGCCGCCCTTGGCGAGCTCCGCGCGCCAGGGAGGGGGGTCCAGCGCGAATCCAAGAAATCCGCGCGGAGCGCCAAAAGTTCATGTTTGTGTGGTTGTTTCTTCTGGTAGTGTCGCGAAGGTAGGTGGCCCAGAAGATAGACGTCAATGGCAATTCGGTTAGGGCAGGCCGTGCCCCTCTCCCCCGAAGGCGGAGATCGTTCAGGACCGAGAGGCCCACGCGGCGACAGAAAGCATGGCCTACGCCCCCACGGCAAGAGCATGTTGCAGCTGGGGATGTTCCGCGGGAGGAGGGAGAGGAGGAGGACGGGGAGGCGGAGCAGGAGCAGCAGGAGGAGGAGGAGGAGGAGCAGGAGGAGGAGAGGAGGAGAGGAGGAGGAGAATGGGGAGGAGGAGAGAGCAGGAGGAGGAGGAGGAGGAGGAGGAGGAGGAGGAGGAGGAGGAGGAGGAAAGGAGAAGAGGAGAGAAGGAGGGGGAGGAGGAGGAGGAGGACGGGGAGGAGGGGGAGGAGGGGGAGGAGCGGGAGGAGGAGGAGGAGGAGGAGGAGGAGGAGGAGGAGGAGGAGGAGGAGGAGGAGGAGCAAGAGGAGGAGAGGAGGAGGAGGAGAGGAGGAGGAGGAGGAGGAGGGGGAGGAGGAGGAGGAGGAGGAGGAGGAGGAGGCGGAGGAGGAGGAGGAGGAGGAGGAGGAGGAGGAGGAGAGGAGGAGGAGGAGGAGGAGGAGGAAGGAGGAGGAGGAGGAGAGGAGGAGGGGGAGGAGGAAGAGGAGGAGGAGGAGGAGGAGGAGGAGGAGGAGAAGGAGGAGGAGGAGGAGGAGGAGGAGGAGGAGGAGGGGGAGGAGGAGGAGGAGAAGGAGGAGGAGGAGGAGGAGCAGGAGGGGGGGGACGGGGGAGGGGAGTGCAAGCATAGAGGTCCACCTGGCTCCTCCTTCCCCCGCAGGCTGACTCTCGGGAGGCAGACCGCCGCGATGTACCTGGCGGCGGCCTGGCTTGCCGGCACGGTCTCCCCGGCGAGGAGGAGGAGGAGGAGGAGGATCCGTAAGGGTTCGACGATGTCTCGCCAATCGATTCGTATCTAGGCCTCCCAGATGGGGTCCGAGTAGATGGGGTCGGAGGATCGCGTCGCATCGCCAAAGCATCGGCGATGCGGCTCGATGTGGAGCCCGTGATTCCCCACGCCGACATCGCCGATGCATCGCTGACGTCGCCGATGTATCGCCCATACATCGGCGATGCATTGGTGATGCGGCGCGATCCTTCAACACCATCTACTCGGACTCCATCTAGATGGTCTCTGTTGTAGGGACCAAGCTGGACGAGTCAAGGCATTTGCAAATCAATCCGGTAAAACCATAGATATGTCTGAAAATCCAGACGTAAACCCAGGTTAACAGATCCAGAGATCTTCGTGGAAATGTTCGGCAATTCATGGCCACTCCAGCGCGAGTGCAGGAACGGTAGGAGTTGCTTGCCCTTGACGAGAGGAGGCGAATCATGGGCAGCGATGGGGGAGGGGGACGAGGTCCAGAGGGGGGGGGGGGGGGGGAAATACGCAGCGGTTTTCGGAGGTTGTCCGAAGACTTCGGAGGCTTTCGATACCCTGGTGGGGTCCCATCAGATGCGCCTCGCCGCCGGCGACCCTAGAGCTGGCCCGAAAACCAAACGACGAGGGTCATTCGTGGGACAGGCTCGGGAGGGGATGCATCGACCCCCAGTCGCCTATTGGTCGCCGATACGGCCCTGATGGCCCACCCCGCCCAGGAACGTTCGAATTAGCGTCGAGAGACCTATCGCCGATCTATCGGCCATGCATCCCCGAGTCCAGGTCGATGCGTCCCCCCCTGAGCCACTCCCCCCCCCCAAACGTCATCCCTCAGAGGAGGAGGGAAGATGAACAAAAAGGGATGATGGGCAGGAGAGGGAGGAGGCACGGAGCAACGCTCCAGCTGTCAGACCTGGTGGCCACATACTCAGACGTGTGTGCTCTTGACCGCGCGGCTCTTGCCTGGTAGGACGTGCGCCGCTTGCAGGAGGAGGGTGAGGAGGAGGAGGAGGCCGCTCTCCTCCTCGCCTTGTCTCTCCTTCCTTTGACTGCTCATCCTCCTCTTCGCCTCCTCCTCCTCCTCCTCCTCCTCCTCCTCCTCCTCCTCCTCCTCCTCCTCCTCCTGCCTCCCTCTCTTCCTCCCTCCATACCCTGTGCTCTTACCTCTCTCCCTCCTCTCCCTTTCCACCTCTCTCCCTCTCCCTTCTCCGACGATGACGGCTACGATCGCCACCAACGACGACGACGACAAACATGACAACGACGACGACGACGACGACCATCCTGCGAGCATGTAACTGAATAAACTGTTTTGACCTTCGCTTCGACAAGGGAGCATGGGAGTAAATTGCGAGGGTGTAGATATCGAGCGGGAACCGTTGTCGTCGCAGTTAGGCCTTCGCCGACTTGATTGACTTGTTCAAATTGGGGCGGCGCATCTGGTCAGAGCGTCTCGAAGTTGTGAAGAGGTATCGAGCGGGAGGCGTCGTCGTCGTAGTTGGGCCTTCGACAACTTGATTCAATTGCGAAGAGGTCTCGAGCGAGACCGCCATTACTGAGTTTGGGGGCCTCTCTGGCTAGGACGTCTTAAAGTATTATGTTTGGAAATATCGAGCGGGAGCCATTGCCGTCGCAATTGAAACTTCAAGGGCTGGGCTTGGGACCCAAGCCCGCGCTTGAGCGGGGGCTTCGCTTTCAAAGAATGTGGAGCCGACATAGAGGCGAGAGCGCCCAGAACTGTTTCCATAGATCAGCAGTGGTTACGAACTTGAAGCGAGTGTTCGACGATGGTTTCGACGATGGCGACGGCGACCCCGACAGCCACGACGGTGGCGACGACGGCGCTGTCGCGACGGCAACTTCGACGGCGACCACCACGAAGGCCATGACGACGTCGTCGACGGCGATCCCCACCACCCCCACGATGGCGACGCCGACGACGACCACCGCCCTCACCGCGACGACGACGACGGCGGCGACAGCGACCCCCACGACTCGGCATCGCTCGGACGTGTGCGTTTTCTCTTCGGCAAGGACCATCGAGGAGCATCCTTGATCATTTGGCGAAAAAACCACGCACGAAACCGAAAAAAGCACACGGAATGGACGTCCGAGCGATGGCGAGACGACGACCACCACCGTGACGACGGAAACGACGGCGGCCACGACGACGCGCGGCGATGGCCTCTTCGCGCGCTCGGGCCCCCAGCCGCGCCGCGTGGGGACTCGCGCCGCCCTCCGCGCGCCGCCCTGGGCTCCGCGCGGCCACGCAGGGCTGAAGGCGGCCCGCTCGTCGTCGTCGTCGTCGAGGCCGTCGTCGTGGTCGCCGCCGCCGTCGTGGTCGTCGTCATGGTCCTCGAGATCGTCGTCGTGGTCGTGGTCGTCGTCATGGTCGTCGAGGTCGTCGTCGTCGTCTTCGTCGTGCGGATCGGTGCGCTCGGCCCCGTTTCGGGTCGGGGGGCGTGCTGGGCGCGCCCGGCAGTCCTCGTGGGGCGCTCCGGGGCACTCTTCGGGGCGTGCTGCCGGCCTCTGGGGGCCGCCCTCGCGGCTGCGGCCGGCTCCGCCCCGAAGTTCTCGCCAGAGCGCACCCCGCGACAGGTCGGGGGGTGGTCATCCTCGTCGCCGTCGCCGTCGTCGTCGTCGTGGTCTTGGCCGTGGTCGTCGTCGTCGTCGTCCTCGCCGCCGTCGCTGCACCCAAAGTCGTGGTCGTCGAGGTCGTCGTCGTCGTGGTCGTGGTCGTCGAGGTCGTCGTCTTCGTCGAGGTCGCGGTCGTCGTGGTTGCAGCGGTCGGGGTTCGACGCTCGAGGTCTTTGGGCACCTCTGATCCTTTTTTCGGAAGCCTCCGTGGGCGCCGTCGTGGCCACGGCTTGATCTGCCTTGAAGTTCTGGTCAGATCGCGCCCCAGGATGTTTTCTCGGGGTTGCCGTCTTCGTCGTGGTCGTCGCTGTCGTTGTCGCCGTCGCGATTGTCGAGGTCGTTGTCGTCGCCGCCGCCGCTGTGTCCGCCATCGTGGTCGTCTAGGTCATCGTGGTTGTCGTCGTCGTCGTGGTCGTCATTCTCGTGGTCGTCAAGCTCGTCGTTGTGCTCGGGGTTGTCGTGGTCGTCGATATCTTTGTCATTATTGTCGCGGTCGACATTATCGAAGTCGTCGTCGTGGTCGAGGTCGTCGTCGTCGCGGTCGTCGCCCAGACCTCGGGGCGTCACGATGGAATCACACCAGGCGTTCTCTTGTTTGCAATTCTAGACGCTTCGCGCAACCCCGCCAGCCCATCCAGAAACGATACCCGGACGAGTTGCCATGATCAGGGATGCGGAGGAGAATGCAGCGGAATAAAGGGCTGGGTAAGATGTCGTGACCCAAGGAGGGGAGGACGGAGAAGGGGTCGGAGGAGGAGGAGGAGGGGAAGGGGAAGGAGGGAAGATGAAGGAGGCGGAACAGGCGGATGAGGAAGATGAGGAGGAGGAGGAGGAGGGCGAGCAGAAAGGCCAGAGGCCTCTTGGATGCCTCTCGGAGTCTCTTCGGATTTCTTTGGGGAGCTTCTTGGAGCCCTCTTGGGGCATCTTGGGGATCTCTTGGCAGTCCCCAGAGCCTCTTGAGGCGTCTTGGGTGCTTCTGAAGGGCATCTTGGAACCTCTTGGGGGTCTCTCGGGAGCCTCTTCGGGGCATTTTAGGGACATCGTGGGGGCCTCTTGGGGCCTCTTGGGGCCTCCCGGGCACCTCTTAGGGCCGTATTGGGCCACCCCTGGGAGCCTCGGGGGCCATCTTGGGACCATGGAAGAGATCGATCTAAGGAGGGTGGCTCCTTACTGAGGGCCTCCCCCGAGGCCAAATGCAGCCGAAACCTTAGTAAATCAATTGCCCCCAGGAGGCCAAAATACGGCCAAAACCTGCGTCAAGTCAATGATTTTGTCTTCCTCCTCGCCCGCGCCATCTTGGACGCTCCAGCGTCTCGCGAAACGCCCCTTCAAAACCCTGGGGGACGGGGGGGGGGGAGGGATCAACCCCTCCCCGAAGGAGAGGAAGGGGGTTGGAAGAAGACACGCTCCGAACCGCTCGCGCCCAAAAGGGCTGGTGGCCAGTACGGAATCGAGGGCTGCGGGAGCCGTGGACTTATGCTAAGTCGGGCCTGTCCCTCTACAAGAGGAGCATTCCAAGAACATGCAAAAAATAGTCAGGGGACGAGTTGTTCGCTATGTTTGGCTATGTTTGATCGTTGTTTGACTATGCTTTAGTTTTCCCCCGGGATCCGCCTGTAGGAGGACACGCCCGACCTCGGACTTGTGAAAGACATGCTGCGGGAGGCGCGCATGGGGCGCGGAGGTGTGCTCGACCCTCGCGGCCTTGGTGCTGCGCAGACCCCTCCTCTCCACCAGGGAGAGCGCGAGGGCCCCAGGAGGTGACGGCGCGTCGAGCCCCACGCGGTGCGAAGCACGAAGCAGCGTGGCCGAGGTGATGGTCAGGCGATCGCAAAGTTATCGTTTTTGTTATGGATTGTTTTGCCGATCGGCGCAGGCCGTCGCACCCCCTTCCCCCCATCCACCCATGGAGTAGATCTTGGCTGTTTTTTGGCGCCTGTTTCGAGCGGGTGGAGTCTCCCCCATCGGCCGCACTGTTTGCAAACAGTCGCACGAAGCAGAGGTCTGGAGCCAGACTCCCCCTCCCCCCCCTTGCCGCCCAATGTCGGAACGCCGGATAAAAAAAAACGCTCTCAAACATGGATCTAGGGGACGTGGCTCAGCGACTCGTCCCGCTTCCGTGGGAAGTCGCGGCTTTCCGCCGCCGAGCGAGGCGGCGCCGGCCGCATTTTGGGGAGGGCGCCTCCCCCGATACATGGATTTGGCGCCCGCGCGCCAAGTCCACGGATCGCTAATCCATGCTTGGGCGCCCCCGAGATGGGGGTCGAGGCTCCCGGGGCCACCGTCGTGGAAGACGGGGGCCCGCGTCGTGAAAGAGCAACCGCCGGTCAGAGGCCTGGGGCGCATCCCCTCAAGAGCGTGTTTCTATAGCGTTTGGGGCGTAATGGGCATTACAGCCCCCTCCCCCCCCGATAACGTAACGCCCCTCCCCCCCCCAGTGCGCTCCGGGCAATGCCGCCGTGCGCACGGCGGGGGGGAGGCGTTACATTATACCCCCCCCCTGCCCCCCCCCCTCGATAATGCCCATTTATCGCCGAAGATAAAGAAACGCGCTCTCCAAGTCGGGCATGTCCGTCTATAGTGAGAAGATAGTCTGGGACGATTTTCCGTGTGTGTGTGTGTGTGTTGTTATCATTGTGGTTGTTTGTTGTTCGCTTATTGTTTTTTGTTTCTTCCAAAATCCGCCTGTAGGGGGAGATGCCCGACCTAAATTTCCCACCGTTGGCCCCCACACCGCTCCCGCACTGGGCTTTTGCGGGTCTTTTCTGGCCCAGGCGTCGCGACGGGGTGGTTTTTAGAGGCCCCGATTCGAGCCATCGGATCGTACTTGCGCTCTCCCTGAGGCAAGTATGCCCCAGTTCTGGCAAGTGTGCCGCACTTGCGGCATCCAATACGCACGCGAGGACTGCGGTAGCTAGGAGCGGGCCTCTAAGGGTAATGGGACAATCGACCCAAGCTTTCTACATGGTTCTTTGGGGGATCACGGCGTGGGACCTGCTATTGACCCCATCCTGGTTTTTGGAACACTGTTGTTACGCGCAGGCACCGGAGAACGAAAGTGGCCCCCGAGGACGAAGCCGCCCAAAGACGCCCGTCGTGTGTTGTTTCTTTCCGCGACGGCTTCGTCGTCGCCGCCCGCGCAGGCTCCGCGCCGTCGCCAGCGTTGTCGACGCCGCTGACGCCGTCGTTGCCGCCGTCGCCGGCGGTCGCCGCCGTCGCCGTCGTCGAAGTTGCAGCCGCCGCCGTCGCCGCCGGGCCCGAAGCCTTGCAACATCGGCCTCCGACCTCCTCCCACGGCCCATCCTGACCCCTTCTCCGACGCGGGTGCAGCCGTGGCGACGAGACTCTTCCTGGAGGCCCCCACAGACAAAAAAACGCCGGGGAAGGCTGCGGTCGTCGCCGTCGCCGCCGCCGCCCGCGGGGGCAGCCGTCGCCCGCAGCCGTCGCCCGCGGCCGCCCGCGGCCGCGGCCGCCGCCGCCGCGCCGGGACACAGGCGCGCCCGCCGGCCATGTCGAAGAAGAGCGGAGCCGGGCGCGCGCCTCGGCTCCACCCGCGCCAATGGACAATTCGAGGAGGAGGAGGAGGAGGAGGAGGAGGAGGAGGAGGAGGAGGAGGAGGGGGAGGAGGAGGAGGGGAGGAGAGGAGGAGGAGGAGGAGGAGGAGGAGACGGAGGAGGAGGAGGAGGAGGAGGAGGAGGAGGAGGAGGAGGGAGGAGGAGGAGGAGAATGAGGCGGAGGCGACGAGGACGCCGAGGCCTCCTCCTCCTCCTCCTTCTCCTCCTCCTCCTCCTCCTCCTCCTCCTCCTCCTCCTCCTCCTCCTCCTCCTCCTCCTTGCAGCGCGGCAGAGCCAATCCGCACGCGCGTCTGGGAGAGGCCGGGACACGGCATCGCGAATCAGCCCGCACGCTAGAGGAGGGGAGAGGAGAGGAGGAGGCGGCCGCAGGGAGAGGGCTGGGAGCGGGGGCGCACTCACGCAGCGAGGCTGCAGCGGGTGCGTGGGCGCGGCTGGGCTGAGGGTCCAACCTGGCAGCAGCTACGGGACGGCGTCACCCCCTGAGACACAGGCGATGCATTTTTTTCGCAACTCGCGTTTTCGCCGGGGTTCGGGCCCCGGGACCATCACAGAGCCATCTGGCTCGGAAAGTGACGCAGGAGGATGGAGTCGGGGGCTCAGGTCCTGATTTTTCACGGTGGTGCAATTTTTCTGCGACGTCCGATCCAATTAGAGGCTCTCGGGAGTTTCAATAATTCGGTTCTTCGGTTCTCGGCGGTTTTCCAGCCACGGGGACCCTCGTCCTCTCCGCGCTTCGCGCGATGTCTGCTTTGGGCTTCGTCTTCGGTAATTCGCTCGTGTTCTTTGCCGCCTGAATCTTCGAGGTGTGCGTGCTCGCCTCTTCCACCCTTCTGTGACTTCCTTTTTCCCGTCTGTGGCGCTCTCGGATTCGATGTGGTTGGGACCCTCCATGCCGTGCCCATCCCCCATACCTTACCCCCTCCCTAGCCAGCTCCGCCCGCGCGTCCTGCACCCCCCTCCCCCCCCCAGCCCTCGCCCCCGCATTCCCCCCTTCTCGTCCCGTCGCCTGGTGAGCTAGTCGTAAGTTCGGCAAATTCCTCCACAGAGGGAATATTCCCCCCCCAAAAAAAAAATCACAAAAATAGCCTCGGGACGATGTGTCGTGCTCTTTTGACTATGTTTGATTGTTTGTGTTGACTACTTTTCATTGTTCGTCCAAGATCCGCCTGTAGGAGGCCATGCCCGACCTCAAGCTAGTCCCTGGAGGGTGGGGGAGCTTGCTGCCCTGGGTAACCCCATGCTGGCGAGAATAACCCCCTGGGGATACTAAAGTTCGGAGCCCAGGCGGGATGATCATCTCGTCCCGGCGATATCGGCGTCGGGATGTCTGGATCGGTTGCGCCAGCAGCCGTGCGCGAGCTCAGACATGGGCAGGGACGCGCGCCAAGGGGAGGAGAGCAGTGGCAACGACGAGGGCGGCACGAGGAAGACGAGGAGGAGCAGCAGCAGCGGGCAGGCGGGGAGCGGGAGGAGGGCCCCCCCGCACCCCTCGCTGCAGGGAGATCTCCCAGACGGTGGACGAGAGCAACAAGCTGCGAGAGAAGCTCGGCATCAAGCCCCTCGCAAAGGAGGCGCCGAGCTCCGGAGGGGCCGGGGCCACGCGGCCCGGCTCCGGGCAGGGGATGTCCGTCCGCCCTGTGGCCGAGGACGGGGGAGAGCGACCCGCAACTCCCCGTGCCCAGACGCTCTTCGATCTGATCTGTTCCACACGTGGTCCCAAAAGCTCCCGGCCTCGTCTCCAGGCTCGTGTTTTTCGGCCCAGCTCCGTGTTGGCTGGCCCTTGGGGCTCGGGAGCGGGCCCCCGGGCGCTGAAAGCGAGGAGGAGCGCCCGGATTGAGGCAGCGGAGCATCAGAGGTCTGGGTTCTGCCGTCGGCGTGCAGCAGCTCTGCCGACGGCGTCGTAGCCACAGGGGTGGGCGTAATGGCGTTCGCGTGGATGGCTCGAGGAGTTATTCTGGCTTGCGCTCGGATCGTCGGCGCTGGCTTCTTGCAGAGTGCCAGCTTCACCGAGCGGCCACACAGTTGCCGTGGTCTACGACGATGCCAGAGAAGCGCGTGCGATAAATCTTTTGGTCGTGGCGGAGCACATGATGGAAGACCCGCTGGAGAGGCGAGCGTGCCCTGCTGGCAGACAGCCTAGCTCTCCAAAGGGGCCGTGCACTCGCCGATCCAGTGACAGCTTCCCCACGTGCGGGCCGCTCCCCGAAGCAGCCGTGGCGAGGGCTCGCCGACTGGCATGGCTGCGAGCATGGTCTGCGCCTGTGTCAGTGTCTGTGTCAGTGTCAGTGTCTGTGTCTGCGTGTGGGTGGCATGTGGCCAGCCCTTGGTGCCCGTCGCGAGACAGGACTCCTGCCCGCACTATGGGACGGCGGGCTCGTGTTCAGTCGGGCATGCTCCTCCACAGGAGGAATATACAAAATGAGTCAAACAATAGTATGGGGACGATGTTTCTAGCATTTTTGACAATGTGGGGGTATTGTTTGAACATATCTTTGTCATCCAAAATCCTCCAGTAGGATGTCAGGCCCGACTTCAGGGTCGTGCCTCGGAGTGTGGCTCGGGTACGAGAAGCGACCGCCGTCCTCATCCTCTGGCCGGTGCTCGTCGGCTGGCTTGCTGCAGTGCGGTCGAGTCCTCTCACCGAGCGCTTTCCACTACTCGCAAAGCGCCTACTCCAAATTCCGTATTAATCGAACCCCCCTAAAAAGCCGGACCCCCTTCCAAATGCGACCTAATATTCCGGACCCCCCTCTTCGACGGGGCGCCTTAATAATTGGACCCCCTAAGCTCCAATCCAAAGAAAGCGCCCCAAGCTCCAATCCAAAGAAAGCGCCCTAATAAACTGGACCCACCCAGTTACAAAAAGGCGCCTCAAAAACCGAACCCGGGGGACGATTGATGAGGGATTTGGAGTTCGCAAATTGCCTATTCGCAAACGTCCGAAAACACATGTCTGCCTCGATGCAATGTATCGCAAATGCCCCATGGCGGATCCAGGCCATCTGCGAGCAGGTATTTCCTGCGAGTCGTGGAACGCGCCTGTCTATCCGCGGCCGGCGATCGTGCCGTGGGGGTGGCTGGGTTTGGACCAGTCTCAAGAACAGCGTGACGGGGGGGTGGGCTCAGGGGGGATACATCGACCCCCGATCGCCCACTCCTCGCCGACAGGGGTAAGGCGGGCATGTCCCTCTACAGAAGGAGAATCCAAAAATAGTCAAAAATAGTCTGGGGACCATTGCTCGACTATTCACCATTTTTGAATATTGTTGGGGTATCTGTTTTTGTTTTTCGTCCACCCCCCCCCCCTGTAGGAGGACATGCCCGACCTGCCGACAGGGCCCCGATTGCCCACCCCGCCCGGAACGTGCGGTGTGCTGCGAGCGGGGGCTCAGCGCCGAGGCACCGCCGATTGTGAAGGCCCGACGGCCGGTGCCGCCGACCCTGAAAGACATCGACGACGACCAGGAGGGGGAGGAGGAGGAGAAGGAGGAGGAGGAGGAGGAGGCGGAGATGAGGAGGAGGAGGCGGAGATAAGGAGGAGGAGGGGGGAGGAGGAGGAGGAGGAGGAGGAGGAGGAGGAGGAGGAGGAGGAGGAGGAGGAAAGGAGGAGGAGGAGGAGGAGGAGGAGAGGAGGAGAGGAGGAGGAGGAGGAGGGAGGAGAAGAAAGGAGGAGGAAAAGGACTCCCCCCTGAGCGGGGGCCCAGCGCCGAGGCATCGCCGATGTCGGATCGATATGTTTCCCCCGCCGCTTCCTTGAGCTGGCCGCCCCCTGGCGTTCCTCTCCGCACCCTTCCGGGAACGGCAGCCGCCCTCTCTGTCCTCGAGGAGGAGGAGGAGGACGAGAAGCAGGAGGAGGACAACGAGGAGGAGGAGGAGGAGGAGGAGGAGCAGGAGGAGGAGGAGCAGGAGGTCTCCCGCTCCTCGCTGTGCCGCCCTCTCGTGCTTGCCGCCCGTTCTCCGCCAGACCCGCCCCTCTGCAGTTCAACACCCTGTCTGCCCGTTCCCCCCCATCAGCCTTCTCTCTCGTTCTCTTTTTTTTGTTCTCTCTCTCTCTCTCTGTCTCTCTCTCTCTCTCTCCCTCTCTCTCTCTCTCTCTCTCCCTATTATATATATATATATGTATCGTCTTCCTCTCTCTCTCTCTCTCTTTCTCTCTCTATACATATATATATATATATAAATATCGCTCTCGCATGGCTGCTATCTCTCTCGCTCTCTCTGTCAATCTCTCGCTCCCGCATGGCTGCTCGCCTAGAGGGCCTGGGACCGTCGAGCCTCGCCCGCCACGGCTACAGGGGCTCGTCGCGCGCGGAAATTTCGGCCGTGGCGCCCGGACGAGCCTCGTCCGCAGCCGTCCATCGCTCTGTCTCTCTTTCACATGCATCGGAGGTGGACGGACCTCCTGCCCCGACGCGTGAATTAGCGATTGGCCGTGTTCGGTTCGCGAGAGGGCGGCGCGGCCGCACTTTTGCGGGTCCGGGTCCGTCGCCTTCGGTCCCGGGCCGTTGTCGCTAAGGGGAGGTTTACTAAAAGGGAGGCTTGTCCACCGCCGAAAGAAGGGGGGGCGGGGAGGGGGAACGCGGAGTGGGGAGGGCGAGGAGGGAGGGAGGGAGGGAGGGAGGGAGGGAGGGAGGAGAGGGAGGAGAGGGAGGAGAGGGAGGAGGGGAGGGAGGGAGGTTTGTCCACCGCCGAATGTACAATAGAATGCTAGATAAAGAACTAGACCCCCCCCCGGCCTGGGGGCGCCCAGTCCGCAACAATCTGGGAGCACTCTCTGCTGCCCTCCCGGCTCGCTGCCTCTAGAGGCGGCCCGGAGCTCCCCAGGAGATATCCCACGAGACGCCCCGGAAGGCAGACGAAGAGCAGAGCGGTAGGAGAGGGATGGAGGAGGAGGAGGAGGAGGAGGAGGAGGAGGAGGAGGAGGAGAAAGATAGGGAGGAAGAGAGCAAGAAGGAGGAAGAGGACATGGAGGAGAGGGAAGTCCAACGAGGAAGAAAGTTCGGAGGAGGTGGCTCCTCCCTCGTCCTTCCTCGCTATCCCTCTCTCCTCCGCCCTCTTCCCCGCTCCGCCCTGCCCCCTCCTCTCGTTGCACGTATCCTTAACTCCTCCCTCCTTCCCCCGCCTCCCGTCTCCCGCGTCCTGCCCCCGCCGCCCCGCTGCCGCCTCCCAGCTTCCGAAAGAGGGGGGGGCAATTAGTTTGAAAAAGACAGGTCTTCCCACGCATCCGTCTTGTCTCAACCTCGACACCCCCATCAACAGGAGGAAACAAAGTCAGAAGAGGAAATGGTACCAATACCGCTACCCTCGCCCCGTTTGGCCGTTTTTCGGCCTCCTGGAAGACCCTCGTCGCCACCGCTGGAGTCGCCTTGAAATTCTGGTCAGACCGCACCCCAGGAGAGGTCTGGGGAGTAGCGGTATCGGTACCCTTGGTCCCCCCAAAGAGGGCAGCAAAACAGCAGACGCACGAGATTTGCCCAGATTATGGTGGAGGCGACGACAAACCGCCCAGCAGGAGAAAAACACACAAAACGGAACACCACGTTTGTCATTGCAGCGTGCTCTGCCGACACATCGTCTAGGACCCGAGCGCGCGCGATGGTTCTAGCATTTCTATTTCACATGATTTACGACTGCATACTCAACAATACAAATATGTACATATACATCTACATATAACGGCGCACCGGGTCCGGGGGCCCAGGGCCGGGACCCCGACCACAAATGTGAGCCCCGGGGGGCCCGGGGCCGGGACCCCGACCACAAATGTGAGCCCCGGGGGGCCCGGAGGCTCGTCGGGGCTTGCCGGAGGCCTCCCCAGTCAGACAAGACGGCCCAAGAAGCGCCCAAGACGGCCCAAGAAACTTCCAAGAGGCCTCCAAGAGGGCTCCAAGATGCTGAAGATGGCCTCCAGACGTCCAAGGACGCCCCCAAGACGCCCCAAGAAGCCTCCAACATGCGTCCCAAGAGGGCCCCTAGACGCAAACATTGGCCCATTCCCTTCGTAAAACGTACATGTTTCACAAAGTTGCTTTTTGGGCTTTCCGACGTTACAGGACGGCCCACGAGGCGCCCAAGACCGCCCCAAGACGGCCCAAGAAGCTTCCAAGAGGGCCCAAGGACAGCCCAAGAGGGCCCCAAGACGGCCCAAGAGGCGCCCAAGATGGCCCAAGAGGGCCCCAAGACGGACCCAAGAGGGGGCCCAGAGGGGGACCACGAACCGCAAGCTCGAGCCTTCCGCCCCAAGAGGCCGCCAGGAGGCCCCAAGGAGGCCCCTCAAGAGGCCCCAGGAGACCCCCAAGAGGCCCAAAGGAGGCCCCGAGAAGCCCCAAATCGGCCCCCAAAATGCTTCGAACCTGCTTCCAGGAGGCCCCCGACAGGTTCAGAGGCTCCCGAGAAGCTACGTCAAACTCCCAGCGAGAATGATCCTAGCTAGAACCTAAGCGCGCGCGAAGCGCGCGCGTGGTTCTAGTATATATGTATATAAATGTATGTATACGTGTGCGTCTCATGTCTGCCATGTTCCGCCTGCCTCCCGCCCCCCGCCACCCGCTTCAGGGCGAAAGCAAGAGCAAAAAGGGCACCTCCAACGACCCGGCGCTGGGGACAGGGAAAGCCGACGGGGGACGAGGACGGCGGCGACGACGGGGGAGACGTCGCCCAGGGCGTGGCCCCGCTCGGCCCCTCAGAGTTGCCGCCAGGTTTGTTGTCCGCCATGTGTGTTGTGCGCACGAGCGTAGCGCGCTGCACGCGCGGTACGTGCGCGTGCCCGCCTCGGGTGTCTCTACTTGCCCACGATCGCTCGTAGCGCAGCCATCCGCTCGCTACGCCGCCTGTCACTTGGCTACTCCGTGTGGCCCTTTCTCGCAATCGCTGTGGTGACGTCCCTCGGCCGCCAGAGGCACATAAGTGGGCGGCTACTGGAAGATCGTGCGAGCACTGGGTGTACAGTGGAGGCCCATGCCAAGAAGCACCCTGCTTGCCTCCATGGTGCCCTGGGTTTCGACGATTTTGCTGTGGAAGGCGTGACGTTCCCATACCAAAAATCAGTGGACGTCCTGAGGTCTCAGGGTTGGGTTTCTTGTGGGAGGCTTCTTGTGGTCGGGATTCCACTGTATTTGCCGTTGTGCCTGAGTTCGACCAGCACCCTGGCCAGCTGGTTGGCGTGCCACTTCTGCGGGGCCCGCCCCCCGGGCATTGGGGGCCGCCAGAAGCGCGGCGACGACGAGAGGGGAGGGGGGTGCCACGGGTGGGGGCCAGGATGTCTGCCCAGATGTCCTGCGCCCCTGCTTCTTGTCTCGATACGGCCCTTGGCCCCCGCTGGGCCGTGCGCGTGCGCTGCTGGCCGTGCTCTGCGAGACCCCTTGTTGGACGCCCCCCTCCTGGACGCCCCCGCGTGGACCGCCCCCCCCGTGGGCACCCACCCGAAAGGCTACTCCAAATCCCTTATCAATCGTCCCCCGGGTCCGGTTTTTGAAGGCGCCTTTTTGTAATTGGGGGGTCCGGTTTATTAGGGCGCTTTATTTGGATTGGAGCTTCGGGGGTTCGGTTTATTAAGGTGCCTCGTCGAAGAGGGGGGTCTGGAGTATTAGGTCGCATTTGGAGGGGGGGTCCGGTTTTTTGGGGGTGGTCATTTAATTAGCTTGGCGAAGGCCCCAACCATATGCAGTTGTGAATACCGCAATCCTAGACGCTTCGCTTATCCCCACCAGCCCATCCCGAAACGATGTCCAGGCGAGTTGAGGTGATCAGGGAAGTGCGGCAGCAAAGAGGAGGACGGCCGAACCGTGCAAAGGAGTGAGGAGGAGAAGGAGGAGGTGGATGGATGGATGGATGAGGGAGTGGGAAGACGGAGGATGAATAGGATGAGGAGGAGGCGGAGGAGGAGGAGGAGGAGGAAGAGGAGGAAGAGAAGAGAAGGAGTAGGAGCAGGAAGGAGGAACAGGAGGAGGAGGAGGAGGAGCAAGCACAAGGGCCAGAGGTCTCTTGGATGCCTCTAGGAGCCTCTTGGAGTATCTCTTGGGCGATTCTTGGGGGCCTCTTGGGACGTCTTGGCGGTCTCTTGGCGATCCTGGGGGGCTCTTCGGGGTCTTGGGTGCCTCGGGGGGGGGGCCTCTTGGGGCCTCTGAGGGTCTTCTTGGGGGCCTTCTGGGGGCCTCTTGGGGGCCTCTTGGGGCCATCTTGGGGCCATCTTGGGACCTCTTGGGGCCTCCTGGGCGCTTCTTTGTGCCATCTTGGAGGAGATCTATCAAAGAAGAGCTGAGCTCTAATTAGCGCTGCCCCCCCAGGAGGCCAAAATGGGGCCAAAACCCTGCTAAAATCAATGATTTTGGCTTCCTCGCCGAGGCTGTTTTGGACGCTCTGACCGCTCCCCGCCCCTCCTGTCCAGGTCAGCGGGGAGGGGGTAGGGGGAGGGGTAAACCCCTCCCCGAAGGGGAAGAGGGAGGGGTGGAAGAGGAAACGCCCTAAACCACCGACGCCCAGAGGGCTGGTGGGATTGTGCTGTGTGGTGGCGGACGCATGCGGGCGGTGCCATTGGGACCTTCGGTGGAGCTCCCTGTGGGGCCACGAAACGCTGTACTGGGTGGGTGAAACGCAGGGAGCAAGGGCTGTGCTGGGTGGTGGCGGACGCATGCGGGCGGTGCCACTGGGACCTTCGGTGGAGCTCCTTTCTGGGGCCACGAAACATTGTAATGGGTGGGCGAAACGCAAAGAGCAAGGGCTGTGCTGGGTGGTGGCGGACGCATGCGGGCGGTGCCACTGGGACCTTCGGTGGAGCTCCTTATGGGGCCACGAAACGTTGTATTGGGTGGGTGGAAAGCAGGGAGCAAGGGCTGTGCTGGGTGGTGGCGGACGCATGCGGGCGGTGCCACTGGGACCTTCCGTGGAGCTCCTTATGGGGCCACGAAACGCTGTAGTGGGGAGGTAAACGCAGGGAGCAAGGGCTGTGCTGGGTGGTGGCGGACGCATGCGGGCGGTGCCACTGGGACCTTCGGTGGAGCTCCTTATGGGGCCACGAAACGTTGTATTGGGTGGGTGGAAAGCAGGGAGCAAGGGCTGTGCTGGGTGGTGGCGGACGCATGCGGGCGGTGCCACTGGGACCTTCGGTGGAGCTCCTTATGGGGCCACGAAACGTTGTATTGGGTGGGTGGAAAGCAGGGAGCAAGGGCTGTGCTGGGTGGTGGCGGACGCATGCGGGCGGTGCCACTGGGACCTTCCGTGGAGCTCCTTATGGGGCCACGAAACGCTGTAGTGGGGAGGTAAAACGCAGGGAGCAAGGGCTGTGCTGGGTGGTGGCGGACGCATGCGGGCGGTGCCACTGGGACCTTCGGTGGAGCGCCCCTTATGGGGCCACGAAACGCTGCTCTGGGTGAGTGAAACGCAGGGAGCAAGGGCATTGCTGGGCGGTGGCGGACGCATGCGGGCGGTCCCACTGGGGGCTTCGGTGGAGCTCCCTATGGGGCCACGAAGCGCTGTGCTGGGTTGGTGAAACGCATGGACAAGGGAGGAGGGAGGAGGAGGGGGAAGAGGAGGAGAAGAGGAGAGGAACGCGGGGACCGTCTCTTCAAAACGACGACCCAACACCACAGGATGGTTGGGAATAAGGGATTTGGAATCGGGGCCAGCGAGTGCATGGAGGGAGGGCCCCTGGCGGACCGAGTCCAGGGTGCGCCTGCCGCGGCCGAGGTGCACGCGCCGGCCAACGCGAGCAAGGACGAGGGTCCCTCGGCCGCCGAGGTGAAGAGGCGGGCCGCCCCGCGCCAAGGAGGACCAGCAGCAGCAGCACGAGTCGGCTCTGGGCAAGTCGACTCCACGTAAGAGTGACCCTTCGCTGGAGTGACCTTTGGTGCGGGCCCTCTGGGGTCCCCCGATCGCCGAACGCGATGCGGTGGTAGCGTCTTGCGCGCTTGTGTGTGGCCCTCCCGCGACCCCCACAGAGCCGCGCACCAAAGGTCACTCTTGCCCAGGGTCACCCTTGCGTGTAGTCGAGCAAGTCTTGCTTCCGCCCCGGTCCCGGCATGCCCGAGGAGGGCCATCAACGTCCAAGAGCTTCCCTCACCGAGCGCGATCCACCACTCGCAAAGTGCCTACTCGCAAACGTCCGAAAAAAACACCTGTCTGCTTTGATGCAATTTATCGTAGATCACCCGCGGGGGATCCAGGCCATTTGCGAGTAGTTACTTTGCGAGTAGTGGAACGCGCTCGTCGATTCCCAGGGCCGTCCGAGAGCAGTGCCCCCCCGATGCTCCAGGGTCGAGGTTCGAGGGCGCGGGTCAACGGAATCGCGGTGTCAGCTTGTGGGTGACGGGAAGATTGGCGTGGACGGCTTTCCAGGGCCAGTCCACTCGGACGGAGCGTACGGTTGCCCTCCCTCCTCCTCCGCCTCCTCCTCCTCCTCGTCCCCCTCCTCCTCCTCTTCCCCCTCCTCTTCCTCCGCCTCCTTCTCCTCCTCCTCCTCCTTTTCCTCCTCCTCCTCGACCCCCTCCTCCTCCTCCTCCTCCTCCTCCTCCTCTTCCTCCTCCTCCTCCTTTTCCCTCTCCTCACTCCCTCTTCCTGGCCTTCCATTAGTCCGGTCTGGGCAAATGGTAGTTGTAGTTATACGCGGGCCTGCGCCAGGCACTCCTGCTGCGCGGGCTCCTGTTTCTCAGCGAGCTTCTAGCACTCGCCGGTTGGAGTTGCCTCTGATGCTCTTATAGTATTGTTCAGCGTGTTGATTTATTTATGTTTCCCCGGCTCCTATTCCCTGCCTCCGCCTCCGCCAGTTGTGGTGTATCGCCGAGCGCGTTCCACTAGTCGCAAAGTGCCTACTCGCAACCGTCCAAAAAACGCGTTCGCCTCGATGTAATATATTGAAAATCCTCCACGGCGGATCCAGGCCATTTGCGAGTAGTGAATTTGCGAGTAGCGGAACGCGCTTCGTATCGTTGGCCACCTAGGCCAGGTGAGATGCATTGGCTCCAGAATCCATGCTTGTCGCATGCTTGTACACGCTTGCTCAGGCCTCCTTCGGTCCCGATGGTTGTGCCTTCGTTTCCTCCCTCCTCTCCCCCCTCTGCCCTATCCTCCTTCATGGTACGTGCGATGAATAGCGATGGCCGTTTGTGCCCTGCGGTAGGGCTCATAACACAATGTGCGTTGACAACCTCGGCCCGATATGCTTTGAGGGCAGGTTTGTATCAGTGGCCAGCTGGTTTCCTCTTGCCTCTTTCCTCGTCCTTTACTTCCTCCTCCTCCTCCTCCTCCTCCTCCTCCTCCTCCTCCGTCCTCCCTCCTCCTCCTCCTCCTCCTCCTCCTCCTCCTCCTCCTTCTCCTCCTCCTCCTCCTCCGTCCTCCCTCCTCCCGCTGATTTTGGCCAGTGCCGTGTGGACGCCCGCGCGTCACAGGAGTAGTTGATGGGTGCGCCGTCGCGGCCGCATTTCGGTCACGCTCGCAGGACGGGCCCCGCGGCAGAGTTCGGCCGGACACAGTAGCTTGCACCGGGCCCTATCTCCTGCCATCCTCCGCTCCTCCCTCCCCTCTCGCCTCTCCCTCCTCCCTCCCCCCTCTCCTCCCCCCTGTCCTCCCCCTCCCTCCTCCTCTCGTCCCTCCTCCCCTCGTCTCCTCCCCCCCCTCCCTGTCCATCCTCCCCTCCTCCCCCTCCCTCCCCTCCCTTCTCTCTCCCACCGGCGCGTGCTCAGCGCGTGCGAGAGCAGGGCCAGCACGTGCAGCCCGCGCAGCAAGTCTTCGAGACTGCGCCGGCGCCGGCCAGCCGAGTCCTCAGAGGATATTGCCGGGTCTGTTTCGGACGTGGCCACGACGAGGCCTTGTCTCGAGCAGTGGCAAAGCGTGCTGGCATGCCCATTTAACTGACCAAATTACCCCAGTGCGACCCTACCTAGAAGTTGGAGCCCCTAGGAAAGCAGCATTAGTTGCGATGCTATGCTATGTCATGCTATGCTGCGCTATGCTACGCCATGATATGATATGATGTGTTATGCTGCGCTATGCGATGCCATGCTATGCTAAGATGTGCTATGTCATGCTGCGCTGTGCTATGCTAAACGATGTTGTGATATGATGTGCGATGCTAAGCTGCGCTATGCTATGCTGTGCGATGCTATGATAGTATATGATATACGGCGCTATGCTATGCTATGCTATGATACGATTGGCTATGTTATGATATGCTAGGTTATGTTAATGCAGCGCGGCGCTATGATAAGCTAAGCTAAGCGAAGCTAAGCTAGCCTTCTAGGCAGAGCCTAGGTAGGGAATTACACCCATGCTATGCCATGCTGCGCTATGCTACGCTATGATATGCGCTGCGATGCTAAAGCTCAGCGAAGCTAAGATGAATGTAAGCTAAGCTAAGATAAACATGAGCTACGACGAAGCTAAGCTAAGCTAAGATGAAATAAGCTAAACTAAGATGATAAGCGACGCTAAGCTAAGGGAGCGTAACTGGGAGAACCGCGGGGCGGATACTGGGGGAACCGCCCGGGGCGGTGTGCACTGCCCAGTCCCTTTAAGAAAGAGAGTAAGAACCCTTTTAGGCAGAGCCGAGGTAGGGAACAATGTTCTAAGAACCGCTTGCGGTTTTCACGAAATGTTCTCAGAGCATTTCTGGCCGAGACTGTCTTGCTTGAGCACATCGGGCTTATGTTCTAAGAACATCGTTTTCGTAATAAGAACATGTTTGGGTTCTAAGAACATATCGTGGTAGGCCAAGAAAAGTATCGGGACGGTCGGGGCCTCTTGGGCCTTTGGGGGGGTATCTCACGGGCCTCCTGCGCCGTTTCGGGCGCTTCAACAGCTGAGAAGGCGAGCGTGAGAGTATCACAGAAGGGTTATCTGAACAGTGCGTTTGGCTTCTATGGCCAGCTCCAAGGGGGCCCCGAAGGCGTTCCAAGGGTCTTCCAAGACAGTCCCAGGACGCTTCCTGCGCCAATCGTGGACATATGAGACACGTGCACCCCCGACCACGCTCCCAAGACCGACGCCCCTGGGGCGCCCAGAAGCGCGCGAGAGCACCTGGAACACGGGGCCCAGGCCCCTGGCCCCTGTTTACGCAAAGTGCTGACGACAATACCAAGCACAGAACTCGAAGGGACCTCAAGCAGGCCCCTGCTATAAGAATGCTCGTGCGCGCCTGGAGCCGCATGGCGGCGCCACCCTCGCGGCGCACCTGCGGCGTGTTGCTCATCAGCGACACCCTCCATGAATATCCCCGCGCGCTTCAGAATCAGGACAGCGACGCTGAGGACGAAGGCGGCAGCGACAACGATGACGTTGACGACGATGACGTTGACAACGATGATGTTGACGACGGCCGCGACGCTGACCACGACTTTGGCGAAGACGGCGGCAGCGAGATCTTGACGTTGTTGTTGACGTCGGCGACAACGACGGTGATGACGACGATGACGGCGACAACGACGGTGACGACGACAACGACGCGGACGACGGCGGCGACCACGCCGACGCCGACGCCGACGCCGCCGCCGCCGACGACGACGACGACGGCGATGATGTCGACGGCCGGGACGAGGACGACGCTGACGTCGGTAAGGGCGGCAACGCGCCGCAGCACATCCCCCCCGGACCAGGCGCACCGCTGCGGCCAAGACGCGCCGCGAGCACGCCGAGCTGGTCAGCGGCGAGGCGCGAAGGGTTCGCCGCCGCCGTCGTCTTCGTCGCCGTCCGGTCCTTCGAGGAACTAGACTGGTCGTTCGTCTCGCTTCGTCGTCGTTCATCGGTCGTTCGATCATCGAGAACCAAAGAGCCCTGTAACCTTAATAAATCTGGGCGGTTTGGCTTGATACATCTGCAGGAAAGACCCCCTATCCTTAATGTCCCTGGCCCTCCTAAATTAGGTCCCTCCCAAAGGGTTAGGGGTACTTCTGTTGCCTATCATTCGACGGTCGACGACGTCATCGTCGTTTTTCGTTTCTCGTCGTTCGTCGTCGTGGGTCGGTGGCCGCTCGTTTGGCCTCCGGAGAGGCTCCTCGCGGCCACGGTTCGATGCGCTTGGACATCATGGTCGGAGCGCGCCCCGGGACAGGTGCGGAGGCGTACGTCGTCGTCGTCGTCGTCTTCGTCGTTGTCTCGGGCCTCCAGGGGCGCCCTCGTCGCCGCGGCCCGATGCGGCTCAAGAAACTGGTCGGTCGATAGTGCCCGCGAGAGGTCCGCCAGTCGGTCCCGAGCGAAAGTCCCAGGTCTTCATCGTCGTCGTCGCCGATCTCCTCGTCGGCGCTGGGGAGGAGAGGGCGGTTGACACTGTGAGCTGCTGTTGGCCGGCGCTCAAGATGGGCCTCCAGTGGTCGGCGCACATTCGAGTTGGGGGGGCATTTGCAGGTCTTGGCGATCGCAAAATGTTGTCGATGCTCGACGTCGTTCCAGAATCGTCTCTGGATGGACCGCAGACGGGCAAAAACGGCGACGTGGGCAACGGCGACGCAGGTTTTGGCATCGCGGGAACGCGCGGCTCGCGCTTTCTTGCTATTTTCGCGGTGTCGCCCTCGATCGATCCCCGTTCGCTCACGGGACATACAGTCGACCCGCGTAGTAAGGATAGGCATCCTTCTCAAGGGTCTTCTTGCATCCTTGCCGCCTGGGTCCATCCCTGGACACTTTCGTTGGCCGCGCCTCGCTCGAAACGCTTCGAAATGGGCATCTAAAGCCCCTGCATCCTTATCGCGCATCCTTACTATCCGGGTTGACCGTATCGGAAAAAGTGTGGCTCGTGATTGTTCCTGCAGCTCGGTTCCCAACCTCACCGTGGAGCAACCTCGCAATTGGCCCGGCCTTGGCCTGGTCGTCGATCTCATCCCTTCCAGGCCTCGTGGCCCCCCGCGGCCCGTCTGCCGAGCCGTGTGCCCAGGAGGAGGACGGGGAGGAGGAGAAGGGAGGAGGACGCGGGAGGAGGGAGGAGGAGGAGGAGGAGGAGGAGGAGGAGGAGGAGGAGGAGGAGGAGGAGGAGGAGGAGGAGGGAGGAGGAGAGGAGGGGAGGAGAGAGGAGGAGGAGGAGGAGCACGAGAGACCAGGAGGACGAGGAGCAGGAGAAGGAGGAGTAGGAGGAGGAGGGGTGGAGGAGGAGAGGAGTCAGAGGAGGAGGAGGAGAGGAGGAGGAGGAGAGACGAGGACGAGGACGAGAGAGGAGGGAGCAGAGGGAGGGAGGAGGAGGAGGAGGGAGGAGGAGGGGGGAGGAGGAGGAGGAGGAGGAGGAGGAGGAGGAGGAGGAGGAAGGAGGAGGAGACGACGGACGACGAGGAGGAGGTGGAGGAGGAGGACGAGGGGAGGAGTATGAGGAGGAGGGAGGTGGAGGAGGAGGACGAGGGAGGTGGAGGAGGAGGAGGAGTCAGGAGGGGGAGGAGGAGGAGGAGGAGGAAGACGAGGAGGATTAGGAGGAGGAGGGAGGTGGAGGAGGAGGAGGACGAGGGTGGAGGAGGAGGAGAAGAAGGAGGAGGAGGAGGAGGAGGAGGAGGAGGGAGGAGGAGGAGGAGTCAGGAGGAGGAGTCAGGAGGAGGAGTAGGAGGAGGAGGAGGCGGAGGAGGAGGAGGCCCCGAGCGCGCCGCGGGGGGTGGGGGGGGCGCGGCGGCGGGCCTCCCCTCGGCGGCGGCCTCGGCGCGCGCGCGCGGCGGCGGGCCGCTCGCGTACTGAGGAGGCGCCCGCGGCAGCCGCTCGAGCGGACGTCCCGTGGGGCGAGGGGCCGGGCTCGGGGATGGTTGTCGGGAGCTCCGCGGCGAGGCGGGGGGGAGGGATCAGGGAAGGTCTGGGGACGGCGAAAGGGCCGAAGAGGAGGAGGGCCGAGGAGGAGGAGGGCCCAGGAGGAGGACCGAGGAGGAGGACCGAGGAGGAGGGCCGAGGAGGAGGACCGAGGATAAGGACCGAGGAGGACCTGGGAGGGCCCAGGAGGTGGACCAAGGGGGGTCAGGGAGGAGGACCGAGGAGGAGGAGGACGAAGAAGGGCGACCTGACCTGAGTGTCCTGGTGTGTCCTGGTGCGCCCTGGTCGCCCCGGCGGGGCCCGCGGGGTGAGGGCCTGGCCAGGACAGCGCGGCAGGGGCTGGAGGACTCGCTTTGAGTCGGGCATGTCCTTCTAAAGGATGAGTACTCAAGAGCAGGAAAAGCAATAGTCTGGTGACGATGGTTCGTGCTTGTTTGATTAGTCTTGCGCATTGCTGGCAATATGGCATTGCTCTCTTCCGAAATCCGCCAGTAGGAGGACATGCCCGACCTAAGACTTGCTTCATGGACGCTGTCCGTCCTGCGGGTGGGAGGGGAGACATGGCCCAGACGTCTGGACGCCGTTGGAGAGCCAGCGCCGTCGGCGTTTGTCAAGCAGTGGCGAAGCTTCCTGGCTTGCCTATAGGCCCACCAAAGAATGTTCTAAGAACCCTTGTGTGGTCTGCACGGGATGTTCTTAGAGCGCCTCTGGCTGAGACCGACTTGTTTGAGCACATCGACCTCATGTTCCAAGAACGTTGCGTTTGTTCTTAGAACGTTTTGGGGTTCCGAGACAAGTCCGTGGCAGGCCTGCAGGAGTGCCCGGACGGTCGGCCCCTGCTCCATGGACGCCGTTGGAGAGCCAGCGCCGCCGGCGCCTGCCGGCTCCACCTCGGCCACCAGCCACCAAAGGGGGGGGGCCTCGAAGCACAGCGTTGGGGGGCCAGGAAGCACGGCGTTGGGTAGAGATTCGAGGGCGAACGCGCTCCCCCCAAGGCCCCCGGGCTCCCCAGCAGAGGGAGCGGGCGCTCGAGGGGAGTCCCCCTCGGGGCCTGATCGGACGCACCGCTCGCGAGGGCGAGCGCCCCCCCGTGGTACAGTCCCGAGTTAGGCTTCAGTCGGGCGTATCCCTCTACAGGGGGAATATTCAAGAATAGTAAAAAATAGTCTGGGGACGATTTTCTGACGATTTTTGAATATTTTGGGGGGTATTTTTGAGTATTTTCATGTTTCGCCCAATGTCCTATGTCCAGTCGAAGACGCTATAGCCACGAAGTGCATGTCGATGGGATGCCGGCTGTATTCTTCTATGCTGAGAACAGATGTCGTCAGTGTTGTTGGTGCGACCCTCAGACAATCCACAAGTTGCACCGTCCCTGTTACTGACACCATCGGATCACTGCATGCATACCAATAAGCTTATTACGACAAAGTTCCTGCTGTAGCACCCAACCCAGTACCGACACAGCCGTAGCTTGAGCGCACCGCGGCTCCACTGATATGCGTAGGCCCTTGATGTTGGCGGCAACCCTAGCTGATGAGCTCGATCGATAGAATTCAGTGCTGCTCCGACTACTTACCCCATCCCATCTGTGTGCATGTGTTGTCGATTGGCGACGGCTGGAGCCCGCCCACCCATGTTCGTTAATCCGTTGGCATTCCCTGTCCTTAGTTCTTTCTCCTCCGTCTGTGTTTGATTGGCGCAGCCCGTAATTCGTATTTGGCGGGCACATTAACCGAAAATGGTTGAAGTGGTTCGCTTGGTCGTTTATGTTGCGGTCGGCGAGGATATGACTTGCTCTTCGCGTATTCCCACCGGCTCACCCAGAAACGATGCCCAGGCGAGTTGTTTTGGCCAGGGCAGTGCAGCAGCATGCGTTCAATTTTGGATCGTCCAAAGCGTCACGGATCTTTCGAAGGAGGAGAATGAGGGAGGAGTTAGAGAGAGGAGGAGGAGGCAGGACAAAGATGGGCAAGAGGCGAAAGAGAAGGAGTAGGGCGAGCACAAGGATAACGAAATTGATGGAACATGTCCCCCCTTCAATATCAGGCGAACCTTTAGGTGGGAGGAAGACTAAGAAAAAAGGGGGCAGGAGAAAGAGAAGGAGGAACGGGAGGAGGGGGGAGGGGGAGGAGGAGGAGGAGGAGGAGGAGGAGGAGGAGGAGGAGGAGGAGGAGGAGGAGATGAAGGAGGAGGAGGAGGAGGAGGAGGAGGAGGAGGAAGTGGGGGAAAAACAGTGACGCCGATGGCAAGAGGGGTGATTTGCAGGTTCTTTGCATGGCCCGGAGCGAAAATACGGGATTCCAGAAACCACAATTCGTTTGAGGGTATTGGAAGGATTTGGGCTGAATGAGGGCCTCATTGAGAGGCTCCGTCGCAATTTGGGGCGTTATTGGGACCTAGAGGAGGCATGTTGGAGGCAAGGCTGAGCCCTCTTAGGCTACGGTGTGCCATATTGGAGGCCACATTGGGCTACACTGAAGGCAGTTTGGGCCCTCTAACGACTGGGGACACCCTTTCCAGACCGAGAGGGGGTAGGGGGAGGGGTCAGGTTCCCACAGGGGTACGCCATAAGTTGCCTAGATCACCCCCACCCGCCTTCCCACCAGACATCAAAAAGAAACACACTTCGCCATCGGATGCGCAACCATCAGGAATACATATATATATATACACACATACATACAAGTGGCACGTGTGTGCCCAGGCTCATACAAAAAACTGAAAGGGCGTTTGAAGCAGGAAGACACCATGACTGCAGGATCGGAGATGGAGAAGGGCAAGCTGGGGCGGCGCCGCCAGGGCGTGCCTAAGAGAAGGGGAAGAGGCAGGAGGTGAACGTAGAAGAATCTAAGATCGAGGTCGCACTCGAGCGCAAGTGGGGTTGCCACACCCTGCGATGTGTGTACCAGGACCCCCCAGGAAACCTCAGGAGG